CAACTGGAGAACATTACCATTTATAGTGAATCCCTCTCGCATTTGGAGTACATGCAAGATATTCTCTAGGATAATGAAAAACACCTTTGACAAGGAAACAGATCCTTGGTTTGTATCATGTTGAATGTTACTAAACATGATTGTTGAACAAAGTTACCACTGTGGGGAAGGAAAAGGAATAAACATTTATATTTTGCCTACTATGTGTTAGGCACAATGCTAAGCACTTTTACAAATATTATCTCAGCTGATCCTCATAATAACCTTTCGAAGGATACGCTATTATCCTCACTTATAGTTGAGGAAAGTGAGGCAAACAGAGGTTAAATGACTTACCCAAGGTCATGCAGTTAGTAAGTATCTGAGACTGGATTTGAACTCAGTTCTTCCTTACTCTAGGCCCAGTACTCTGTCCTCTGCTGCCTATAGTTGTATACATCAAAGAAGCTTATATGTTTTGAATACATGCAAGAGAGACTCCTTGTTGGAGGAGAGGATTTAAAACTGCCTTTTGCTCTATTAAATCAGATGACGTTTCATAATAAATAATAAACACAAAAAGTGGGTCATTTTATTCTTTGTGCCCTTGTGTGTCAGCTGTGTAACTGTAAAAATACAATCTAATATAGAATCATTCATGGAAACTACTCCCTTTCTCCTTGCAAACTCAATGAGTATATACATTTTCAATATATAAAGATAGATCATTCTCATAAAGATGAAAAAATAGACATACAGGTTGGTAGTTATTATTCTCTCAGGCACCTTTGGGGAACATTAACATTATCTGTAATTTCCCCCCATTCTTATCTTGTAAAACAGTTCTTCAATATTTTCAAGACTGTGTTACCTTGAACTCATATTTTCATTGTGTACTTGGCCTTGTCCAGCTGCTCTCCTTAATTTCATATCCCAGAGTTGTTTTTTTAAATAACATAATAAAGCCCAAATGTAGTTTTCCTCTCTACCTTTTGGTGAAAATGTGTCATTATAGGAATATTGACAAATTTGTTCAATTTTACATCCAATATTGTTCTCCTACCAATTTTATCCATGAATGTCTTTGGGAAATGTGGCTTATTTGCATCTTATGCCAAGTAGACTTGTTTTCATTTCCACTACATTTCACTCTTTTAATAGATATGTTCATAATCTCTCCCATCCTCCACCATGTTGTTGTACAAATTAGTTTGTTTTGTCAAACCAAAACCACATTTTATAATTTTTAAACCATCTTCTCATGCTCACATTTACATTTTGTATCAAACTACACATTGACCTGATTTAAAGGGCTTTGTCAAGTTCTTTGTAGACTTTCTTTTTCATTTGCAGCAGAGATTGACAAAAAAGGTAGACTTGTCTTCATGTTAGTATTTTTGCTTACGTAGAGCATGGACATTGCAAGGTGAGAGGACTCTACCCCATGAAATGAAGTTTTATTGCTTTTGGGCGCATAGTAAAATGCCCTCCACCAACTTCTTTGTCTCTCAAAAAGACCCTGTGATACATTTTCCATTTAGCTGCCAGTTTTTTTGTCTTCTGATTTTGTCCATTTTGAGGTTGTTGATACCTACGCAGTTCATTTGTGACACCTTCTACTCAAGGTCTTTTCTGATTCCTCTTATTGTTAGCACTCTGTACCTGCTAAAATCATCCTTTTACTTATTTTATTTATTGCATCACCCGGTAAAATGTAAGCTCTTCAAGAACAGGGGCAAAGTTTCATTTTCCCCTTTGTATTCCCAGTGGAGGGCAGAGTGCTTTGCGAGTACTAAGTGCTTAATGAATGGTTGAATGAATAAAAAAGCATTTATTAAGCTCCTATTATATGTCAGGCACTACCCTAGTGTGTGCTTGGGATACAGATACAAAAGTGGTACAATTCCTATACTCAGGGAACTTACATTCTAATAGGGAAAAGTAGCACGTACTGAGGAGTGGCAGCCAGTGAAGTAAGTTTTGGCCTGGGGAGTCACAGAGATAGAGCCATAGGACAATGAATCATTCTGCGTTTCAAGTAGCACTGGTAGAATTGATTTGTTTATTGCTCCAACAGCAAGCAGTAGAAAAGGGGTTTGAGGGTAGAAAGATTATATATATGGGGTAAGATAGGAGATGGCAAGATGCCAGGCATGTAGCATGGTCCAGAGTTGGCTGGATATAGGGGGTTAAATGAGTTTATACTCGAGCACGTAAGTGATGCAATGGATAGAACCCTGGGCATAGAGTCAGAAAGATCTGAGTTTAAATCTAGCCTCAAACACTTAGTAGCTATGTGATCCTGGGCAAGTCACTTAAACTGTTTGCCTCAGTTTCCTCATCTGTAAAATGGAATAGTAATAGCACTTAGCTCCCAAGGTTATTATGAAGATCAAATGAGATAATAATTGTAAAATTCTTAGCACAGTGCCTGGCACTCAGTAAGCACCATTACTGTTACTATTATTCACTCACCAATCTGGACATCTCAGCCCCAGGGTAGAGTTCCAAAGCTGAGTGGATTAACTCCCCTAGGGAAGATGGGCATGGCCTCTGGAAGTCCAGACAGGCAGTGCTGTTCTAGGTATAAAGCAAGAGAGATGGTGAGATGCCAAGGGTGGATGACTGGATGAAATGTGAAGTATGGTCTGGGGTTGATTTGCACTTGTTCACTCAGCCACCAATCAAGACATCTCAGCCTCAGGGTGGAGTTCCAGAATTCCAAGTGGATTTACCTTTTAATGAATTGAATCGAATTGTTGTTGAATATTTCAAACCCCTCCCATTTAAGAGTACCTATAGTTAAGTAAACATTTGAAACATTTCAAAGGATATGATCCTTTCCCCAACATTTTACCACAATCACTGTTGAAGCAGAAAGATGCCATACAAGACTAAGGGTTATTTAAAATGTTTTCATTCTTTTATGGGTTACTATAGCCAAACAATTTATGACCATTTATGATCAGCCATAGTGATTATCTTCTCTGTCCTTAGCTAAGATGATCCACAGAAAGCAGCAGTATTCTGCTGTCTGGGCCAAGATCTAAGCCCTTCCACCATGTTAGAACCTGTCAGAGCACAGATTCAAGAACCCAGGATCACTTACATGCCAGAATGAGATATCAAAGTTGAACTAAGTGAAAATGGTTGAAATTAAATCTCACCATTTATTTTTCCGTCAGGGAGACATACCACATGGTAAACTGAGGCAAGTCTGAGAATCTGTGTTCTCAGGTATGTTTGAGGTATGTGAAATGAGGACACTTGAAATAAAGCTGTTTTTTCTCAATTTTTTTTTAAATTGGAGTATTTGTTGTTCATTTCTTTTAGTTGTGTCTGACTCTTTGTGACCCCATTTGGGGTTTTCTTGGCAAAAATATTGGTGTGGTTTCCTTCTCCAGCTCTTTTTACAAATGAGGAAACTGAGGTAAACAGTTAAGTGACTTAACCAGGTTCACACAGCTAGTGTCTGAGGCCAGATTTGAACTCAGGTTTTTCCTGACTCTAATCCTGGCACTCTATCTATCCACTGCATCACCTAGCTGTACTTAAAATGGTATATAATTATAATCCCTTGACACTGATCCCTGAAGTTCCTAATGACCTTCTCATTAGGGATTTCACAAGCACACTCTCTAATGCACTTACACAATACTGTGTGTTATAGCTCTCTTTGTTGATATCTTATCCTTCTATGAGATTCTAAGCTCCAAGTGGACAAGTAAGATGACATATGTAAGCTTTGTGACTCCAACAGTACTCTGTAGTCAATGGTGCTAATAAAGATAATGAACTAGGACAATGACACTAATTATCAAATTTTTGTTAAAAGGTTGAGTGCCTTGTATATAAATTGCCTCATGCCATCTATAAAAATGTTTGTAGGACTAGATAAATACTTTAGAAAGCTAATTTTCTACTAATCAAAAGGCAGTTTTGGTTCATAATATGGGAAGTAGCCCATTCATTAGTTTCTCAAACTAGATGCTTAATAGAGTTGGATAACCTTCTAATTGCTTCTCAAGAACAAAGAATGGGCAGCCAGTAGGAGAAAATACCCATGAACCAGGAGGATCAAGGGAGGTCATCTAATGATATCATTGTTCTTTTTTCCACTTAGAAATATCAATGATTTCTTTCTTTAGGTCCCTACAGAGTTTTGCATAGGGCACTGGAATGATCCAGGAGATCAGTAATAGCCTCAAGTGCAATTGAGGGATGTTGAATAAAAATAAGAGGACAGTGGAAGCGTAAAGAAATAGAAGAATAGAAGAAAATAGAAGAAAGTTTTGAAAAAACGGTCATACATGTTTCATCTGTTGTGTAACAAAGTTAAAGTCATAGTGATTACATTATTTTCTAAATAGACACACAAAATGCAAATTATAGCCAATCAATGGTCAATAGGTCTTAACCTGCCAACAGGTCTTACCAAACAAGTATTGGCAGGGGAGCATATCTTGCATTGTTGGGAAGTCTAGTATGCATCAGCAAGAATACGTGCATGTAATGACTTGTTTACAATATGATACTATACAGTTACATCACACAATATTGTATCATTAAAATTTCAGTGTAGGAAAAAACACAAATTTACAATAAATTATTAAATTTAAGATGTATCATTTAAAATATTTTATATTTTTTGAAATGATGCAAATTTAAAAAAACATTAAATGTTTAAAGAAAGTTTTTTGGGGGGCTGAGTAATTTTTTTTGGAGGGCAGAAGGACAAATAAGTTTGGGAACCTCTGGTTTAGAGTTTTAGGGAATGTTTATCTCCAAGTTATCTCTAACAGAAATTAATCTTTATTTCTGCACCTTCTTTTTACACTTCCAATTCCAGGGGACACTGTAGGTATGAATGGTCACATTAGCTTGTGGAATAACTGTCTTATAATGTAATAATGAGTCATTAAGATAGTGGAAAAACCATTGAACCTGGAATTGGAAGACCTGGGCTTGAGACTCAGCTCTGCCATGGACTTCCCTGAATATAGTTTTCTCATCTGTAAAACAGAGATTATAAGAACCTGCGGGTGGGTTGTAAGGATCAAGTGGGAAAATGGATATAAAGGAGCTTTGTAAGTTGTAAAGTGCTATATAAATGAAAACTATCATTTAAAGACCAAGATACTTTATTCTTCTTTTGTGGTTGATTCTAGGGAAACCTCATTTCTTGTCTCAGAGGAGAATAGCTTTATTCATTACGAATAAGAGGCATAACTACACGTGTTAGTTTATTTTCCTGATGATGCTAACTTCATGATGAAAATTTAACAATTGCCAAGAAATAATCAAAGGAGATTCATCCAGGATTTGAAGTCTTCTGCACAATTTGCTTGTGGTGTACATAAAATTTGTGTTTATTAAGTTTTTGTTTTTCTTTCTAGTTAATCTCTAACCATGAGAGCTTAATAAATAAAATATTATTTTTTTAAAAAAATGCTTTGAAATTCTGTTTAGGAGTCAGCAAGATTCATCCACCAGGCCACACATTGTGAAAAGATACTAGAAGAGGCTTCACCTTGGCCATTATGTAGTATGTACCATTTTGTGGGTTTTCCTTACTATACCATGTGCAGTAGAGCCATAGCTTTGTTGAGACATAGCAAAGCTAGGGTATAAAGGGGATTCTGCCCAGACACCTATCATTAATATCATGATGAAATCTCAGCAGCATTACACAGAATACAACCTTTCTCCTAACAGAAAAATGAGTTTATTGGGGGAGGGGGGGTTTTTTAGGGGAGAGAGGATTTCCTCCAAACCTATCTATTTTTGTTCTTCCTCATTTCTTTGATTTCATTTCTACAAACCCTTTCTAAATGTAACCAAAATGCATACAATAAAGAAACAAATCTGAGACACAAAAGGCCAGAGTACATGCTTATTTACTGTACTGAAATGGTAATGTTTCTTCTCCTTCTCTGGCACCCTCCCAGGAGAGTTCACCAGTTCAAACTTTTTCACTGCTTGACAATTTTCCTTTCACAATACAGCTGCATATAAAGGGAATTTGGGTTATTTTCTTCCTTCAATGGCAGTTTCACTGGGTTCCTTCACTACTTAACTTCCTCTGTGTCTCCCTCCCCCCTACATGCACCACTGTCACTGAGGCCTGGCTAATGATTTATAGACACCATTAGAACTCTGACTGAAAGCCTGGCTTCCTGGACCCTGCAGGTATGTGCTGGCTATGTAATGGGGAATTCAAAGGCAGACTTTTGCCTTTGCTTCTGAACCCTTTCCTTTGTATCTTTCCAACAGATTCTCTTGAACCTTGAGACTGATGGGTAGTGAGGCTACTTCAGTTTTGTATCTAGCTTGATGTCACTTAATAAACTTTTATTGTCCGCTTACTAAGCAATCTTTACAAATTCTCATCAACATCCACAGCAGTATTGCTACCATTATAAGCACTTGGTGCTTCTAGTAAATATTCTGGAAGGCTTTCAGTTTTGACCATTGGAGACTCTCACTCTGCTTCCAACTGCTGTATCTTCTTTTCCTTTTCCTCCAAAACTTCTTCTAGCTGATTGATCTTCTCTGTCTGCAGTGAAACTTGTGTAGACAACTCCATAATCAGACTAAATCTTCTATCTCCTTCTTCTACGAGTGGAAGGCCTCTGCAGCACTCTTCCAGAGAGTTTTCTTCTAAAACAAACAAAAGAAGGAAAGTTGGAAGAGTTTTACTTGGATTTCCTAGAACCCAAAGATAGGGAAGAATAAAGTGCTGCATTTCTCAGTTTTTAAAAAGAAAACAGAGGAAACAGAGGTACTATGTGTCAGCAAAAAGGAAGAATCAATCACTGTTCATGCCAAGTTTTGTTGAAGAAGGGTAAGCAGTACCATACTTTTAGATCATTGCTAAAATAATAAGTGAGGATTAATCTTTGCAGACTGGGGCCTGTAAATTCATCATAACTATAGTTGAGACTAGGGATAGAATTAGCATATTAAACCTGTAAACAGTCCACCCCAAAGTTCGTCAAGGAGAGAGTAATATATGGGTTTCATAAGAGGCAAGATCAGGTAGAAAAAAGACTATCCAGTTTAAGATTCAATTCGTTTTTATTCAACTCAATTAAAATACATTTATCTTGGCCCTTTTCCAGCTAAAAGTGTTAATGAGATGCAAAATATCTCTTCTAAAAGTATCAACCCTTCTACTCTCAATAGCTCACATCTATTTAATACTTTACAAACATGATCTAATTCATTCTTCCCCTCAAACCTGTAAAATTGGCAGAGTTAGGATAATTATCTGTATTTTACAGAGAACACTGAGGTTTGTGCAAAATCAAAGAGGTATTGAGTAGCAGAGTCAGGAATTGAACCTTGGATTTCTGATAAGGTCCACCAGGGTGTTTTTAGGAATTTTCACTCTCACTTGATGCAGTAAGGAGTAATTTCATAGAGCAATTAAAGGAACTCTAAGGAAAGTTTCTTTTTCTTTTCTTTTCTTTTTTTGTGAGGCAGTTGGGGTTAAGTGACTTGCCCAAAGTTACACAGCTAGTGAGTGTTATGTGTCTGAAGCTGGATTTTAACTCAGCTCTTCCTGACTCCAGTGCCAGTGTTCTATCCATTGTGCCACTTAGCTGACCCCTAGGAAAGTTTTTCTAAGCACTACTAGCCAGAAAATGCAAATATCCATTTCTTTTTTTTAATTTATTTTATTAATTTATTTTGATTTATCAACAATCACTTCCATATGCTTTTGGGTTTAAAATTTTTCTCCCCCTTCCTCCTCACTACCCTCCCCAAGACGGCATACAATCTGATATAGGCTATACATTGACATTCCTATTAAACATATTTTCACATTAGTGAAGTTGTGAGTAAAAATTAAAACCAATAGGAGGAACCATCAGAAAGAGGAAACAAAACTCAACAGAAGAGAAAAAAAAAAGATAGTGATTCAACTTTCACAGTTATGATTACTGTCCGCATCTTTTTCTCCATCCTTTTTTCGCCCTGTTCATGCTTTTCTTTCTCCTTTCCTATAGGCAAGTTAGATTTCTATACCTAACTGATTATGTTATTCCCTTCTTGAGCCAAATCTGATAAGAGTAAGGTTCAAACAATGCTCACCCCCCTCCCTTCTTTCCCTGTGATGTAATAGGATTTTCTGTCTTTTCCTTTAAAGTAGTTTATCCTTGTCTTCCTCCTCCTCTCTCAGTACATTTTCTAAGATCAGACTAATCCACTTACTTGGATCCATTTAACCCACTTGATTAGAATTTTTTTTATCATCACATCAAAGTCAACTAATATCCACCCCCTTTATGCATACTCCTTTAACATTATATAATAACAATATAGTTCTCAAGAGTTGCAAGTGTCACCTTCCCTTGTAGGGATATAAACAGTCCACCCATATTAACAACATTTTGTATCTTTCTGTCTCATTTACCTTTTTATGTCTTTCTTGAATCTTGTACTTGATCAAATTTTTTGTTGAGCTCTGGTCTTTTTATGAGGAAGGTTTGGAAGTCCCCTATTTTGTTGAATATCCATCTCCTCCCTTGAAAAATCATGCTCATTTTTGCAGGGTAGTTGATCCTTGGCTGCAATCCAAGCTTTGCCTTATGGAATATCATGTTCCATGCCCTACAGTGTTTTAATGTAGAAGATGCAAGGTCCTGTGTAATCCTGACTGTAGTACCATGATATTTAAATTGTTTCTTTCTGGCTGCTTACAGAATCTTCTCTTTCATCTGGTAATTTTGGAATTTTGCCATTATATTCCTTGGCATTGTCAATTTGGGATCTCTTTCAGGTGGTGAGCGGTGTATTCTTTCTATGGTTATTTTACTTCTGGTTCTAGGACTTCAGGGCAGTTTTCCTTTATGATTTCCTGAAAGATACTGTCCAGGCTCTTTTTTTCATCATGATTTTCAGGTAGTCCAATGATTTTTAAATTGTCTCTCCTGGATCGATTTTCTAGGTCTGTTGTAAAACAGACTGAGGTACTTTATGTTTTCACCTATATTTTCATTTTTTTGTTTCTTTTTGACTGATTCTTGGTCTCTCATAGAGTCATTAGTTTTCATTTGTCCAATTCTAGTTTTTAACAGATTGTTTTCTTCTGTTAGTTTTTGCACTTCCTTCTTCAATTGGCCAATTGTATTTTTAAGGGATTTGTTTTCTTCAGTGCACTTTTTTTCCAATTTGCCAATTGTGTTTTTTAGGGACTTGTTTTCTTTAGTGTACTTTTTTCCTAATTGGCCAATTGTATTTTTTAAGGACTCTTCTACCTCTCTCATTAGACTTTTAAAATCCTTCTTGAGCTCTTCTAAGAAGGCTTTTTGGGCTTCAGACCAGTTCATATTCCCTTTTGATATTGCAGATGTGGGTTTGTTGACAATGTTGTCCTCTTCAGAATTTCTGTCTTGATCTTCACTCTTCTCATAATATGAATCTATGGCAAGTTTCTTTTTTACTCATGCTTTCTTTATTCCCTGGCCTTTAAAGAGATTGAGCTCTCCTGCTGGGGAATAGAGGGCACTGACCCAAGCTTCTTGTGCTGGGGGCCTAGGTCTTGGTCATTGGCTTTGTATGCTTGGGCCTCTTATGTTGGCAATTGGAGGCTGGAGGGTTTTGGCTTTACCTCATGTTAGGCTAGAATCAGCAAGGCTGGAACTTTCAGGCAATTCTAGGTTGCCTGCTTTTCCTTTCCTTTAGCTTTCTTCATCTCCTTTTAGATGAGTGCTGCAGGATGTTTAATTGCCTGGGGCCCCTTGCATTGCTGCCTCTCTCCTTTCTGCTGATGCACTGGGAGATTCCTTTTCGGTAGAGTGTGGTAGTAGGCACCTGGTGGTTTTCTGAGCTTGTTTCCACCGGTTCCCCTGTCCTCACTGAGGCACTTGGAGGTACAGGTGTTGGTGTTTGCCTTCTCTACCACCTGGGCTTCAGAATCTCCTCCTGGTTGACAGATGGAGGCTGTAGGGTTCTGACAGCTTACCTGGTGTTGGGTTGGAATCAGTAAGGCTGGGACTTTAGGAAGACTCTAGGTTGCTTTCTTCAGCTCCTTTCAGATGAATGCTGCAGGGTGCTTATCTGCTTGGGGTCCTTTGTAGTACTGCTTCCCTTATTTTTCTGAGGCACTGGGAAACCTGTTTGCTGGGCTGCTGCACTGCTGTTCCCTGTCTTTCTTCTACTTCAGCTGTTCCAGGGTTTTTTTTTTTTCTGGGGTGATATTTTCTGGGTTTTCAGAGGTTGATAGGGGAGGGTTAGAGTGACTACCTTTTTACTCTGCTATCTTGGCTCCTGGAAGAGGAAGCCCCTCAAATATCCATTTCTTAAAGACTTCTCTTACAAACTCTTAATGCATTGCATATGCCCCCTGATAGGGGTAATAACTTACTCTTTATTAATAGCGATCAAAATCCTGCTGAAAATAGGGACCAGGATTAAGGCCTATAGCAAGAAGTTGTGAGTGTAGGAATGGTCCAAAGGTGAAGATCTCTTGTCCTTACTTCACAATTTTTCATGGGGCAGGAAAGACTGGCAAAGTTGCCCACGGGTTTTACCTGGCCCAAGAGTTCAAGCATTAGAGTCACTTCTCTCATCTCCACAAAAAGCATAGATCAAGAATAAGAAAGCTAAGCCAAAGTCTCAATAGCACAGTTGTCTGGCTGCAGTTAAATGACTATTGCATGTTAAAAAACAACTACTATGACTACTGCAGTTAAAAAAAAATCACCAGTGTATAGCATTTCCTGGGAAAAAATGATTATGGAAGAGTGGTCCCCATTCTACAGATGAAGAAATTGAGGCTCAGAGAGCTTGTATAACTGTCAGTATACAAGAGGAAGCAGAGCAGTGATTTGAATCATCTTTTGAGTCTCAGTTCAGTATTCTTCCTACTAACTCACACTGCTTCTAGTGCTTATCCAAGTGCTAATAAAAATGTACGCTTAAATAATGATATCTTTAGCCACAAAAACATATTGTTCTAGGGTAATTAAGTCTTTATCTCCAGGGACAGATAAAGCCACACAGTTCTGTGGCACCTATAAAACTGCTAAATATGAGATAGGCTTATTACTGGAGTACAAATCCACTAATGATCCAAAATGTATGGGAGAGGGATGGAGTAGGAGAGGAAGAGAGGTAGGATTTGTAGTTTGTTGTGTTGTTAGCACATTTCTCTAGGGACAGTGTGATAAAAATAGAGTATATTGAATTGCATAAACAACAAAATTCCCTGGACTTTTAAAAATTAACTAGAGGGAGAATTCAAGCTTTTATAGTTAAGTCAGATAATCAGTAAGGATTTATTAAGTGCCTATAAGTGCCAGGTACTGACCCCTGGGGATACAAGGAAAGGAAAAAGACAGTGCCAGCTCTTGAGGAACTCACAGTCTAATAGGGAAGAAAACCTGCAAGCAACCATGTACAAACAAGTTATACACAGAATAAATCAGAGATAATCAGTTGAGGGAAGATACATGAAATAAGAAGGATCAGGAAAAGCTTCCCATAGAAGATGGGATTTTAGGTGGAATTTGAAGGAAATCAGGGAAGCCAGCAGGTGGAAATGAGAAGAGGGAGCATTCTAGGCCTGAGGAATGGCTAGAGAAAACTCCCAGAGTCCAGAGATACAGCGTCTTGTTAGAGGAACATCGGGAAAGCCAGAGGCACAGAGCATG